CACTTCCCTCTCATTCCCAACTCTCTCGTCCGGCCCATAACTGCCCTGGATTATTCTTCTTTTAGTGAGCCCGATCAAGCCCAAAACTTCACCCATGTCCGCTGCCTCACTATCAAATCACACTCTATCCGGCCCTGTTGCTCAGTCTGAGCCCACTAACTGTCGTCTTTGTGCTGACCATCTTGTTGAGCCCATGCAGGTTGAGACCACCGCTGCCTTGGAGCCGCTAGCCTAGTCCGCCAGCTCCCCACTCTCAATTCCTGCTGACTCGCGAGCCCAGCGTGCCCCTGCTGCACAGCCACCCCTGGCTCAGCCCGCGATTGCCAATCCAGCACCAACCGCTCCTCTTTCCTCTCATCTGATGGTCACCCGTGCCAAAGCAAATACTCTCACGGTTGTTATCACAGTGGCACAAAGGGCAACTTGTGGAAGCTGCTAGAAGGCTCGGAGACTTGATACTAGAAGAGCCAGGCCAAAGAATAGAGTTACTGGCAGTCTTAGAGCATCACCTTCCTCCACTTTTGCTTAATGCACCAACTGCCACTTAGCTATACAGAAACTCAAGATTTTGGAACCAAATCCCAACCCCCCTTCTCTCCTCCATATTATAGATAATAATGACATAACATCTGGTATGAAGATGATCAAGTCCTAGAGGTTTGTCAATTTCCTTATCTGTGTAGGTGGCTACTGCCTCGGCTCATACAAAGCATACTTAGATGTGGCTGTAAAAGCCACGTCCGAGAGAACTGCTATTTAGATGATTTTCTATGTGCTGGGCATGTATATTGGCTAGTTCGTCTTTGTTGTAACTTGATTCTGCCAATTTCATCTCCGTGGATATGATGGTATATATTGTGCTGGATGAATCGCGTTGTTTGACAGTACAGTCGACTAGAAGGTAAACGTAACTTGTCAAATATTAGTCTTCTATACCGACATTCAGTTAAAACAAAGATACTTTAAAGCAAACATTAGTGTTCACTCGGGGAGAAGGTGATTAATATGAAACTCAGCCATTAAGTTTGCTTGGGACCATGTTTTTACATTAATTTAATTAAACTTGGAACTTAGAATAACGTAGAAAGTGGGCTGTTTTTGCTGTGTTTTTTGTTCTCAACTATATGAGTGCCTCGATATGCAGATTTAGACACCATATAAGCTGAGTAAGAGTAAGAGTAAGAGTAAGAGTAAAGTACTTAAAAAGGCAAGCCAATGTCATGCAGGCAACGGGTTGGCCAGAGCCAAGGCTCGTTCAAAGATGAGCTGTGAGTGGGGCCAGCTCGAGCTTATACGGGCTGTCCAAGGTCCTCGTGAGTGGCTCGATTCGTTTGCTAGTCTGCACGACAGTGAAAATCTTTGCAACTTTTTGATTGAAAGACGATGAGAAAACTTTCTTTTTCAAGGTATTATTGGTAGGGAAATGGAGCAAGGAATAATATTTTTTGGAGAATGTGTAGTTGAAATTTAAAGTAACTTTATTGATTTGTGTGTGGAATATTTTATTGAGTGAATATATGATTGAAATTATTTACTGTAGAAAACAATATTTGTAAAAATGATAGACAAACAGGGGCTAAGTAACAAGTACACGGTCGATGAAAAGCTCGCTCCCCTAGTTATATATGCCAACTAAGTGATTTATATAGGAAGCAATTTTTGTAGGTTCGAAAACATTCATTAAAATATGATAGAACGATAAATTTGAAACTAAATTGAAATTCAATAACAAATTGAAGATTTCTCCACAGATGAAATATACTTGCTTAGAGGATCCATTCAACCACAAATAGCATTGAAATTATGAAGGTAAAATTTCCAAGACCATTGGAGTGTTTGTTTTTTTATCTGAGAATCAATTCTTAAATCAATTCTCATTTTTATTTTTTGATAAAATAATATTTTTCATCACATCAATAACTTTTCCTTCTTTTTCAACCACGTATTCCCCATCACATCAACAGTAAAAATGCATTCTTGGCTTCAAAATGTGCACCAAACGGGGGTTTAATTTTAACTAAGAACTCATTTTCTACAGTAAATCAATTTTCATTTTCAACCACACATTCTTCAATAAAATAATATTTTCCATCACATCAATACTTTTTTCTTCTTTTTCAACCACAGATTTCCCATCATATCACTATTCAAAAATCAATTCTTCTCCTAAAAATCTCTTCCAAATAATTTCAACCATTTCATGTGACATATACTGCTTCACAACATTTTCTGGTTTTGGGGGTTCTTTTCTTTTGTGGCTTCTAATTGAAATGTGTGATATGAAAATTATCAAACTGCTCAATAGAAAGGTTTCCCCAGAAAAGAAAACACCACCATCAAATTCAATTCAAAAGCTGGACCAGAATATATGCTCACAAGAAATCAAAGAACTCATGTAATATGTTTTCAACATTGAATCAAACAAAAACTGATGCTCGTTTCCACACAATTTACACATACTTATGAGTATTCAACGACACTGCATCTCGCACGTTAGACGAGGGCATGAAGGCCAAGATCATTAAAAGTGCCAAAATGCATATAGGAAGCAGAAGAAGCATCAATGGTGGTGGCGGCAACGGAGGGAGTATCAGTGGCAATATTAGCAATGATACTGTTAGGCAAAACAGTAGAAACAACGATTCCAACGTGAAATAACGGAACATTTTCCCACCAGATAATGATCGGCAATACTCCGATTTCCGTCCCTCGACCAAAGGGACGACGCCACCCCTTCTCGAGAAAGTAGGATTCCTTGCTGCTTTTACATCCATTATGCTATTCAAGTACTGATCTTGCAGATTCATGAAACCTTTAGACATTTCCAATTTCGCTTCACGTTTTTCAGCATTCATTGAATTACACCTCGAGTTCGAATACTTCACGGGTCAGGGCTTCTGCTGTTAAATATCTCCGAATGCTCTAAGAATCTTGATTCCTTAATATTGAATATGAGCCGACAAAGTAAATCAAACAAACGGATCTTTTGTATTAATATAAATCCAAGTTTCTATATCAAAATGCCAACAAAAACTCTTCGACTTGGCTATGTATTTCTTCAAAATCACTTATTTGGAGTGAAAACTGAATCTTCTTATTGTAGGCCAAACGCAAACCACCCGGATAATCAGACGAAAGAAGGTACTTTTGCCTAAAAATAAAAACAATTGAATCAACACCAATTTCAGCTGCAACTAAGGATTACATTATATTCAATTTCATTTTATGGGCATCAAGAATTTTCAAAAAACAAAATCTTGAAAATCAGGAGTACGGTCAAGAAATAAAAAAACAGAGGAGACAAGAATAATATTTGAAGCCTAGAATGTAAAAATCTAGCCAGAGTTCTCCATCCTCAAAGAATTGTAATGCATTTTATTGCAAACTATGCAGGTATTATGCCAAAAAATACCCAGAAATCATATCTAATTACCAACAAAATCAATAAAAGAAGAAGCAAGATCTTGAAAGGATAGTATACCAACCTGTAGTTTCTACAAAGCTGCAGAAAAATGTGTTGTAAATTGAGCTTATAAATAGGGTACCATCGAAGATCACGCTCTTAGCTTTTTCTCTCTATCCAGATTCCAATATTCCAATTAGCGATGATAAGAAGAAAACCAGCTTTTGTGCAAGTAAAAGAAGAGTTTGGATGGTGGGTTTACAGGGAATGGGGAAAACCAGGGGCGAAATAAGACTTGATTGAAAAGGACAACAGATGGGAAATCTGAAATGGCAATGGACAATGTATGTGTATTTTCAGTCAGTCTTCAGTTGTCTGCTCAAGTTAAAATGGTGGGGTTGGATTGGGTTGGGTTGGGTTGGGGTGGGGTGGGGTGGGGTGGGGTGTTTCCTGGTTAAGGATGAGATTTCAACGGGGTTTAAGATGTCTGCTGGCGTTAATAGATAGATACGTGAGTAGTATTCATTCAAGGAGAGAGAAAGACACACACACAGACATACATACAAGTAGATGTATAGATATAGATTCAGTGAATGAGAAAGACAAGTGGGGCATGCAAATTCATGGAAAAGGAAAATGAATGTGTGTTTGTGTGTGAGAGAGTGGATTCATTTTCAATTCAAATGCCAAGGTTCTTCTCCCCTAGACATTACTTCTTTTCTACGCACTTTCTTTCTTACAACGTCTACTACCTCTCTCTATACTACTTTTGCACCCATATTTGATAGGTTATTAATTATTTCTTTTACTTATATTTTTTTATTTTCATTCGTTTAAAATGTTTATGAATAGTAACATACTTTAGAATGTATTTTTAATAGCCGTTGGATTTTATTTATTTTTATTGATTACCGTACTTTCAAACTTGTTTCTTAACTGTTATTTTGTCGGTATAATTTTTCACCAATCATTACGAATCGTTTGAAAAGATTAACAATTCCATTTATCATAATATAGAAATCGTTAGTTTCGAGCACAAGAAAACGGATTTTTTTCTAATATTCCCAAGTACACGAACTCGATACTCCCTGCCACTATTTATTTGATTATTTGATATGTGCATTAAACAAATGAGGCTCACTATTTACGATTGTGATATATGTACACAACAATTTACAAAATGATTTATGAACAGATGATATGACGATATTTAATTGGATTAAAGTCTTATCAGTCAAATAATTTCTACACTTATATCTTAACACATCATAATTAAAATTTAGCTTTCAATAAATTTTAGGGATTGTTTGTGAATGATTTTAATCCAATTAAAATTGAAAATATAGCCATTATTGAGTCTCACCCGTCTAATAAAAGTCAACAATAACGGTTAATTTTTCAATTTTAATCCTTCCCAAACAAGCTCTTAATAAAGTAGATAAAATGTGTAGTTGAAAGTTGATAAAATTTCTGAGTTTCGTGAGATATATTCTTAAAATTAAGTGTTATATTCGATTTTAATTTTTATAAATTTTTTTTACTAGATTTTTAATTCATCAAATTTATAATTAAAAGCTCTCTCCATCTCACTCTTTCACACAAATACGGGCATCTCACCTTATAATAATAAATACTGGTTTGAATTTGGACATCAATGCCACTTTTGGAAATTATAAAAATGTTAGGTGTTTGCACGTCACATCACGTGCCATTATGTTCATTTTCAAGACTCGTGGGTGTTTCCAAAATTCAACAATTTCATCACATTCGATCAAGAATTTGAGTCCCGTACATAACTATAGCTTCAAGGAAAATGTTATGTTTGTAATACCATATATTCTCCTAAATAGTTGGCGGAAATGAAGGTCGACCGCTCGTAAGCTCAATGAGCTTAAACCATTTAAAAAAGGGTTCTCACGTTGCAAAAGCCTGATAGGTCTTGGTGTCAACTCGTCGAACCAAGCTAACTCAAAAAATATGACATTAAGTTCAATTAGTATCGTGAACTAGTCTTAAATTGATATGATATTTTAGAACAAATAAAAATTTAGCGATTAAATCAAATTTTGTCCAAGAGTCTAGGGACTAGAAAGATAAGCTTTGAGGCATTTTCAAAATTGTCATTACATTTTTGACCAAAACTTGTTTGCCATTAGGAAATTTAAATTAATTTTTAAAACAATAAATTAGTATTGAATTAGCACGATATAAACATTATCAAAAAATTTATCTAACGTATTGAATTTCGAATCTAACAGTTAATATCTGTATTGCTGGTGATAAAGTAAGCGACTCTTGCATGTCTAACTTTTTTTATGGTAAAGTTGATAAAACTCTTAATTAAAGTAAATAAATAAATAACAGAAGGAAAAAAAAAATAGAAAATCCCACCCCTTTTACCCCATATAGAATGAAGAATAAAATCCTCTATACAGAATTGTAAATAAAATAGGGAAAATGGCAATAAAATTGCCAAACCTCTTCTGTTTAGTCACACTTCAATAAAACCTATCAGGTTTCTTGTTTATTTTAAAAAAATGCGAAAATAATAACTGAACAAACTTAACAATTAAAAGCATGCAAAAGCCCCAGCATCGTTACTAGATTTTTTTTCTTGTTACTCCTATGTATAACATGACATCTCCGTTCAAGAAAGTGACGCGATAGCACTACTAATCGAGTTTTCGACATATAAGAGTGTTGTCACTGAAAAGTTAGGGATGCAACATAACAAATTTTTGCTTTGTTGTTGTTGTTGTTTTTTTTTTTTTTTTTTATTTTTTTTGTTTTTTAATTTTTTTTTTAATTTATAGTTTTTTTTTTATTTGTGTAATTTGGGTGTA